CCCAAAAAAAAAAAAAAAAAAAAAAAAACGAAATTTAAAAATAATTAAAACCCCTCTTTCCCCCCCCCTTGACAGCCAACTCTGAAAAAATGAAATGAGCCCGGATTTGGGGTCCTCTGGGAAAGTGCATGATTTATTTTTTTTCGCACGCCCGGGTTTCCCGGGCATCAGACCCCCCCGGGCGTCACGTCCGGGTGCCCGGCCGGGCATAAAAAAATTCCTAGCTTTTTTTTCAAAATTTTTTGATTTTTTTTTTTTTTTTCTGGTGAGATGGGCGGGGAGCCTGCCCGGCCCAGTTGCCCGGCCGGGCGTCCCAGGCAGGTCCCGTGCAGGTCCCGTGCCAGCTTTGGGAACCCGGACGGCACGGCTGGTAGCCCAGCACAAGAGGCCTATTTTCCACATTTTCCATATGTGGGTAGACAGACAGTTGCAGCACGCCAGTAGGTTGCAGGGGAACGTGAGCCTCCAGGCTCTTTCCAGAAAACAAGGATTACACTGTACTGTTGAGCCCAGGGCCGGGTGGTTGCGCCCTGGGCACATGCAGCGTGAGGCCGACACATCACGCAGCAGCCACAGACGAATGAGAAAGTAGCATTGTCGTCACACGATCTCCGCAAGCCAATGAGAATGTGCCCAACCATTGGAGCCTGGGAGGCTACCTATACATGCCCAACCGAAAAGGGCCCAGGCCCTTAACTGTAGAGGTGGGCCTGGGCGCAGAGACTGGGGCCCAACTGGAAGCTACTGGAAACTTCCCCAGCCCGGCCCAGGCAGACACACACAGGGGCTGCACTTTCCATAAAGGAAAGAGGCCAGCCCAGAGGGAGGCATTCTGGCCTAGGAAGGCAATGCGGCCACGCTGCTCCGTTGCTGCGCAAGTGTCTGCATGGGCGCTGCTGGTCGGACGTGCGCACGGGCGCTGAGGTGAGGGGCATGCAAGGGCAGCAGCGCACAGCAGCCATAGCCGGGCTGCAGGGGCGCAAGGCAGGTGATGGCGAGGGTGGTCTTTGGGTAGGAGGCGCATAATGTGGGAAGACGAGGGGTGATGACGAGAGGAGAGAGAACATACCTGGTGTATCCTGGTGATCGGCATTGGTGTTGACGTCACGTACATTGGTCTCCCGCTTCCGAGTGATCCAGTTGCGAGAACGTAGATAGGTTAGATAGGCTGAGTAGGATAGGCTGGGCGCTGGGCGCCAGACGAAATTGGATACAGTGTTGGTGTGACCAGAGAGTGGCGACATTGACATTCGAGTTCATTGTATTGCTCTTATTTGGACGGTATCTTGGTGCATTGCACTCTCTGCTTGGTTCATGACTATCTGAGCTACTTCGTGATTTTGCAACTTGGATTTCTGTCTATCCCTCTCGCTCATATTCCTTGCACACGCTGCTGTAGTTGTATTATCCGACTTATCTTGAACACACTCACATACACACACAGTGTCGCACACAGGGGGTCGGGTCGGTGCCTTCTTGCTGGAGTAGTCTTCTGTCTTAGGTAAGTTGCCTTCTGCCCTCCATCCCCTTACGGTTAGAAATATATATGTATACATATGTATATGTGCAAGTGTGTCGCTTTGGCAGCAGACGGGTGTGTGGGCACTTGGCGCTGAACCGCACAAACGTGGCCAACCTTGCATTTTCTATTATATTGCCTATCTATACTTCTTCGTTATTGATGGCTTGTGATGATTTGTGAAGGGAATGAGAGAGAGAATCTGGGGTCTTTTAAAACAACACACATTCCGGTCTTGCTAGCCCTCTGTCTTGGCAGATTTGAGCGGCTAGGATCGAGCTCGTATTAGCGAGCTATTCTCTCTTTTGTGGTTGGATATGTCTTGTTGGTTTTGTTGATTATACACGGCCTAATTCTTTGCCCTGCTTTAGAGCACGGGCTGTTTGGATGTTTACGGGTGGCCACGAGTTCTCTTTGGGGGGAATGTATGTTTTGTGGGCCGGCGTGGAAGGCTTTCCCAGTTTTTTTGGACCCTTAGCGGGGGGGGGTTGGGTTGGGGTCGGTGTGTTCTTGCTGGAGGAGTGTTCTGTCTTAGGTAAGTTGTCTCTTATCTTCTTCCTCCTCTTTGGCAGTGACGCGAGTGTGTACTTTGGGATGAATGTCGGGAATGCCAATGCTGTTATATTTGAT